CAGAAGAGCAAGAATGTGCACATAAAAGGTGAACATCCTTCTCTCAGCCAAGTGTGGGAGCCCAGGGGTCAAGGGGGAGCCAAGGCAGACTGTGAGTGTGCTACCAGTCCCTCTGGCAGGCTGCTGGTGGGTGCTGCTTGTGAGAGCTGGTGGAGAACATTTCCTTTTAACTTCTTCAAGGTTTGGAGAAGGAAACCTGCCTAATCCCAGCCACAGCAGAACCGGAGTTCGCCCCTAGCTACAACCTGGTGACAGAGAACCTGGTGCTCACACAGTATACACTTCACTTAGGATTTCACAGGTACTATCTCCAGAGGCTTGTTTCTAGGTGGGAATGGCAAAGGCTATGGGACAATCTTGTCTGTAGCAACTAACCGTGTAGCTTGCTTGACTTCTTGAGGAGTGAAGTGGTCAAGCTTTGTCAGCAACCTTGGAAAACTGAGGATGTCCTACAGCAATTTCTTCACAGGCTCAGCCTGTCATTTTTATGTTCAAGTGGCCCTCCCTATTGTAAAAGCATCCAAAGTAAAAGAGTGGACAGGAGGCACGTGCTTGCAGGAGTCTTGGTCTCAGGCGTGAGTGTTATCCTGCTGCATACTGGAGGAACTGAGGAGAAGGGATTGAAATGAAATGAATGGGAGGGTCTCTCTGTTCTCAAAGCATCTCTTGATGCACCTCTCAAGTCAAAACATCCTTCCCAAAGCTTTGTGTGGTTCAGCTGCAAGAGAAGTGGGCCTGGGCCTGGGCTGGATTCTCATCTCTGGCCTTGGGCTCTCCCTGCCTATGGCCCACTTGTACCTACTGCCTTAATCTGGTGTGTTCCTCTGGCTTATTTGCCTTTTTCTGTTGCCTGTTCAGGTTACATGACCAGATGATTAAACTCAACCAAAGCCTTCACCGGCTGCAGGTGGCCTGGCGAGAGGCTCAGCAGAGCTCCAGCCCTTCAGCAGACAACCTTCGGGAGCAGTTTGAGCGCCTCATGACCATCTATCTCTCCACCAAAACAGCCATGACAGAGCCACAGATGCTGCAGAACTGCCTCCACTTGCAGGTGTCTATGGCCGTTCTCCTGGTCCAAATGGCCATCGGAAACCATGGGACGGAGCTGCTAGACGTGACCTTTCCTCTGCCAGAAGTGAAGCAGAGTGCACTGGCCTACGTCCCAGGTGACTGGCATTTTCTGTAGCCAGTGGGTTGCTGCTGGGGGAGGGGCCTCCCCTCCAGAAATATTGGGTTGTCTTTCTTTTGCCCCATAGATTGCAAGGATGTGAGCACTTGCTCTGCCCTGCCATTTACTGGCAGCTAAGCACAGTTGGTGAGCGGTAACTTTCTGCTCTGATTCTTTTCAAGATTGAATGTGCCCAGGTAATGCCACAGTGGAGTGGCAAAAGCCCTGATGATTAGTAGTGGTCAGTGGTGATTTCTTTATAACAAACCCCCATTACAAATTTGCCATTTCATTACAAATCCCCTCCCTCTGTGGTGTTAGAATTCCTTTGATTTGGATGAGATTAAAGACACGCCTGTAAATATGCAGGGGCAGGTGATGAGTTAGCAGAAATGACAATGGACTGGAAATTTTCTCTAGGGCAGAGCGTGGCCCCTGGACCTCACTTTTGCAGACCCTGAGGCCCCTTTCCTTTAAAAAAGAAAATAAAATCTGCATGATTTTGGGCAACTTTTGCCAGAAAAATGCACAGAAACCCGTACAAAAGTATGAAAACACCCCTACCAACCCAGCCTCCCCAGAACTTTCAAATATTTGTTTTCCCCTGAAGTCCCTCTAAAAATGGCAACAGAAAGCAATGTGACATCACTTCTAGTGACCATTTTGGAAGGGACTATAAGCAAAGGTATTTGGGTTTGCTAGGGAGGGTGCAGCCTAAGGGGAATTCATAGTGGGTCTTTGTCCCGCTATGAAGTTTCGCCCCTGTGCTCTAAAGCAACCCTAAATATTCTAGGAAGAATGGCTGGAATAATTTGAGTGAGTTTTGGTTTATTTTTGTCTTGGTTGCATAATCCTGCATTGGGTGTGCTTTTGTACAGTCAAGGTATGAAAGGAAAGCTTATGCTTCTAGAACATTGGTGGGCAAGAGACATTCAGGTGGAGAGGTGCTGGACTTCATTCAGAGAAATATGATGCTGTGGCATGCTAGAGACGCAGGTGCTTGTGGGTGTTTCAAAAGGCCACTGTGCTACTTGGAGAGCTGCATGAGGCACCTTGCTCTGCAGATTCCCACACTCTCCTTCAGGAACCTCTTCCCAGCTGGATGGGCTGCCCTTGTGTGCTGATGGGGACAGGATTTGTTAAGGGCTAGCTAAACCTAAGAATCTGGAGAAATGGGAGACATACCCTGGGTCTGCCTTGTATGTAAAACTTGTATGTATATCCCTATCTCTGTGTTGCATGTCTTTTCCCCACAATTTGATGTTGGCAAACCCTGTCACTTTGTTTTCCTGCGAGTGTGGGCTAAGAGCAGAGAGTGTTTTCTGCAGCCCAGAGGGCTCATTTGGGGCCTTGTGTCTGCAGAATTCTTTGCCGACAACTTGGGCGACTTCTTCATTTTCCTCCGCCGCTTTGCTGATGACCTTCTGGAGACCTCGGCTGACTCCCTGGAGCACATCCTTTATTTTGTGACTGTTTTCACTGGAGATGTAGACAGGTAAGGCTTCTCTAGCCATGTACATTCCCAGGGCTAGTGAGTCCTGATGTGTGCAATCCAGCTGATCTCCTGGAAGGGTGAGTGACTGGGAGAGATGTGGCTTCTAACAGGCCCCACAGATTGTTAAGGGAGGGAAACCTGAGGCCCAGGGAGAACCAGTTGCCTTTGGCCCAGCTTGTGATTTGGCTACTTCTGGCAGGTATCCCTGAGGCCCAGGTCAGTGTCAGCAGCTTTGGCTGCTGCTATGGTCCTTGTGGTGTCTTCTATCTCTATGATTCTATGATCTGCTCTCCATTTGAAAGTTATTCCTCTGCCCCAGCAACTGTTTACAGAAGGATTATCTAGCCATGACTTTCACCAGGTCTGCTTTACTTGGATGCTGGGGACCTGCAGCTCTGAAACAACTACTGGGTGTGGGGACACAAGAGGCGCCAAGTCCTTGGCATGAGGATAGCTTTGCTGTCTTCTATACCCAGATTCTTTGGGCCTTCAAAGGGAATAAATCCCTCTGTTTTTACCTGCGCGTCAGTGGCAGCCCCTGCAGAGGTTGGGAGCACATGTCCCAGCAGCCTGTGAGTTCTGCCCCAGCTGTGGCCTCCAAACAGTGTTCAGGGCCAACTCTCCAGAAGCACAATTAGAACAGCAAACTTTCAGGCAAAGCATGGCTGACAGGTCCCCCATAAGCCCCTTCTCAAGCCCCTTCCCCATTTGCAGGATGAAGAATCCCCACTTGCGTGCAAAACTAGCTGAAGTGCTGGAGGCTGTCATGCCCCACCTGGACCAGGGGCAGAGCCCCCTCGTCTCCAGTGTCTTCCACCGCAAAAGGGTCTTCTGCTCCTACCCACATGCTGCCTACCTGGCTGAGGCTCTCATCAAGGTCTTTGTGGACATTGAGTTCACAGGTAAGATTATTATTATTATTTAGTATTATTATTATTATTATTACTAGGTTTATTTATATCCCAGTACAAGATGGGGAGGAGGAGGCTGTCTCGTTCCCTGGCATGCTGGTGGGCTCTGGAGAGGCTGTTCCCCGGGGTCATCCTGCTTCTATCCCTCCTCTATACCACTGCTCTTGAAGCTCAGGGCTTTGCATTATTGGTAACACTGTGGGCAGGGGCCCTCTGAGACCATTCCTTTGATTTGGGTATGTGTGCCTTCTCTCCCTCTTCAGTGGTCTCAGAAGCGGGGGGGGGGGCACCCTTACATTTTGATGTAAACTAAAGGGCGGAAAGAGCCAGTTCTCATGTGCAAGGACCTTCTGCTGGCTCTCTTTCTCCCGTCTTCTGGTGTTCACAAGTCTTAGCATTCCTTTTAGTTAAAGCCTTCTTTCCCTTGCTCAGGAGATCCCCACCAGTTTGAGCAGAAATTCAACTACCGCAGGCCTATGTATCCTATCCTCAGGTATATGTGGGATACTAGTTCTTACAGGGAAAGTATCAAGGTAAGTCAGGGGAGGTTCTGGGATCTCCTGGGCCAGGGCACCCATGAGGCCTCAGGAGGAAACAGCTACCTCACACCACATCTCCTTTTTTTCCTCTTCAATTTGCAGGCCCTCGCAGACTATGCCTCAGAGAACCTGGAAGCAATGAATCCCCCACTCTTCTTGCGTTTCCTTAACCTGCTTATGAATGATGCCATTTTCTTGCTTGATGAGGCTATACAGGTAAAAATGATTGCTGGCGGAGGGAGGGAGATGACAAAGGAAGTACAGTCTCACACCCTTGTAGCAGACTTGCTTGTAGCAGTGATGAAGGAATTGCTGTCTGGTTCCCTTGACACAAATACACACACACATACATACACACACACTTACACACACTTACTCTGTCTAAGAGAGTGAATAAGAGAGAGAAATATCTTTCCTGAAAATGTTTGCCATCATTTCTTGATCAGTCAGGAGATAGAAAAACATCCCTTGTACAGCCGAGGCAAGCCTCTCTGAAAAGTTATTGTGTGGAAATGTTCCAGTCTCACTATTGTGGCTTTACTGATCTGGTTTGTGAGCTTCAGTCCATGCACCCCCAACCCTCCCCCAGGCCAGAATCTGCAGGAACAAATGCCCTTGGCACGCCTCCCTTGCCCAGGTACTGGCTCGTCCCCACTCATCCATGTTCCTTCTCTGCCACTTGGAGTCTCCTTTGTTTCTGCTGAGTCAGCTGTGAATAATCAGCAAGGGTCCTGTGCACTCCTTGCTGTGGTGTGCTTTCAAGTCATTTCCAACCTATGATGACCCTAAGGGATTTTCTTGGCAAGATTTTTTCAGAGGAGGTTTGTCATTGCCTCCCTTTGAAGGTGAGAGAGCATGACTTACCCAAGGTCGCCCAGTGGATTTCATGGCCGAGCTGGGAATTGAACCCTGGCCTCCGAGTCCTAGTCCAGCACTCAGACCACTACACCAGAAGGGCTATATCCAGCCAGGGTGGAGAGCACCTGTATTTCAGCAAGACTGTATTGCCACTGGTCACCTTCCAAGGAAGGGAAGGCTGCTTCCCTTCCTTGGAGGTTTTCAAACAGAGGCTGAATGGCCATCTGTTGGAGTGTTTTGATAGTGTATTCCTGCATGGCAGAATGAGGTTGGACTAGATGGTCTTTTCCAGCCCTATAATTATGCGATTCTCCTTGTCAAGAGAAACAAGCCTCTCTGGAGGGGCCAGGAGAGCATTCATCATCCTCTTGTCCCCACTCCTCTCTTCATTGCCCTGAATCTCTCTGCAGTACTTGAGCAAGATCAAGATCCAGCAGATTGAGAAGGACCGGGGTGAATGGGACAACCTGTCCCCTGAGGCGCGGCGTGAGAAGGAAGCCAGCCTGCAGATGTTTGGGCAGTTGGCTCGCTTCCACAACATTATGTCTAACGAGACCATTGGAACCCTGGCCTTCCTGACCTCAGGTGAGGTGGTCTTCTCTCCAGCAGGTGGGAGGGAGAATGAGGGAGAGTCAAAGACTGCCTCACAGAGACACGTTTTCTGTTGCAGAGATCAGGTCCCTCTTTGTGCACCCCTTCCTGGCTGAGCGCATCATCTCCATGCTCAACTACTTCCTACAACATCTAGTGGGCCCCAAAATGGGAGCCTTAAAGGTCAAGGATTTCAGCGAGTTTGACTTCAAGCCACAGCAGCTGGTTTCTGATATCTGCACTATTTACTTAAATCTGGGGTATGTCATTGGGGGGAGCTGGAGAAGACCAAATTCATGGGATGCAGCTCTCACGGAGGTAGCCAGGAATGTCTCTCTGTTCTGTCTGTAATTGCTTTTTGGAAAATGAAAGCATCCTGGAACTGGCTGCTCCTCCAGGCTTAGGAGAAGCAGAAGTCCCTTGACAGAGAACCAGCTCCTGGCTTTTAGCGCTTAAACACCCAGAAAATCCTCAGATGATCTTGCCACAGTATGCTCCAGCTGCCTCTCAAGACTAAAAGGATAGCAGCTGAGCTAGGGAAAGAGGTTAGCCTACTAGACAGACCGTATTGGGACAGACTGGAATGCTGCTTCTCTCCCCAGTCCTGTTGAGAGGCTCTCAGATGCACTGGGGCTAGGGTTAACCATCCACTGGGTAGGGCTGACTAAGTCTTTGGTCTGACTAGGCTTTTGGGGGGAGGGCGGGGGGGTGGATTGGTGAAAGTAAAAGAGTAAGTCTCAGTGGTCAAAGGCAGGGAGTGACTCTGTCTTTTGAGGGAAGGTGGCCATGACTGTGTGCTTGCAGGTGTTACTGGCATAACCTTTCTGGGCCAATTCTCTGTTTCAGTGATGAGGAGAACTTCTGTGCCACAGTGCCCAAGGATGGGCGGTCCTATTCCCCAACTCTTTTTGCTCAAACAGTTCGGGTCCTGAAGAAAATCAACAAGCCCGGTAACATGATTGTAGCGTTTAGCAACCTGGCAGAACGGATCAAGGTGAGACAGCAGAAGGGCTGGTGTTCCAACCCACCCACTTTGTTACTTACCCACTGCTTCTATCCCAGAGCCCTGCTGTGGAAAGCAGCCTGTAGGTTCCCCACCTGCTACTGTTAGTATTTTGTGCTGCTTAGGGGAAGGGGCTCTGCCTTTAGCCCCTGCAAGGGGACTCTTCAAGCTCTGGGCTCACATTAAGGCTCCATGGAAGTGAGAAGCCAAAGAGGCAAGTCAGCAGGACTGGGTGTGGCAAGGGCCACATTCTCAGGACTGAAGTGAAACTTCTCACCTCTCCTCTGGGCCTCGGCCAAGGCCAAGTGGGCTGCTACGATCTTACTTGGAACCCATTCCTGAAATCCAGGACCCATGGTCCAGACTATCCTTGGGCAGCAGGGCAGTTCACAGTGCCATGCTGCAGTCTGTCAGCCTCCCAGAGCTCCTTGCCTGGCTATATTTCTTGGGCTGGTCTAGCTCAACCACCTGGCCCTTCATTTCTCTTGGCAAGCAGGTGTGGGGGAGTGTGGGCCCTCTGCTCACCAATGGTGGGGTTCTCTAGTCCCTTGCAGACCGCCAGCAGCAAGAAGAGGAGACCTATGCGGATGCCTGTGATGAATTCCTGGATCCCATTATGAGCACTCTGATGATGGACCCAGTGCTGCTGCCATCCTCTCGGGTCACCGTGGATAGGTCAACCATTGCCCGGCACCTCTTGAGGTATTCCAGAGGAATGGGAGGGGGACAGGATTTAGGTGGACATGGTGCTGCCACTGCTCACCCTTCTAAAGAAGATGGAGCTTGTGTTAAATCCAGACACACACATCCCAGGCTGAAGATGCTGGGAGTGCAGGCACTTGTTTCCACCAGACTCCTGCCCGGTCAGCTCCCAAATCCTCCTTGGCATATGCCATTTTTGGTGATGTTGCTGCTGAGATTGATGGTTGCACGTAAGACGGACAGCATGTGCTTTCAGCTCTCCTGGAGCAGCTGGCAAATGTCCAGAGCTTTGGCCAGCCCGTCACTGCAAGGTGGCTGTAGGCTGGGTGGGGAACTGGGTGGCTCTCCAGATATTATGAAAGTCTTATCTGCCCTCTAGCCAGCATAGCCAAGGGTGAAGCCTGATGGGCATTGCAGTTCAACATTTGGAGGACCACAGCATTGCTGGTCCTGCTCTGGGCTGGCCTGAGTCCAGGCATCCAGCTCTCGGGCAGGTGTGCCTTTGCCTGCAGCCTCCTTTTTGCTTCACCATGTTCTTCCCTATGGCTCATCTTCCTTCTCTCTCCTTGCAGTGACCAGACTGACCCTTTCAACCGCAGCCCCCTCACCATGGACCAGATCAGACCCAATACGGAACTGAAGGAGCGGATTCAGCAATGGCTTGCGGAGCGGAAGAAGGAAAAGGAGCAGTCGGGAGGGATTTTGTGACCTGGCCTAACCGAAGCTGGGCTACCCTGCATTTGAGCCAGGCTGCCCCCCGTTCTCTCTAGTGACTGCCATGGAGCATGGGCAGGTGGGGGGGGTCATCCTTCTCTTTCGTTTCTTGCCCCTAGGACTTTGCCACAAACCTCCAGCTGCTCCCTTGCCAAATTGTTTTGCCTAGTGTCCAGTTTCCATGGCAGCGGGCCTTCCTAAACTCCCTCCCCAGGTTGGTTTCCCTTCAGTTGATGCTGCCGCTTTTGTGCAGAAACCCCTTTTCTTCTGTGCAAGGTGGAGGAGGCAAGAGCTCTTGTTCTCTCCACTGGGCAGGCCCTTCTTTATGCAACTCCACCTGGATGATGCTGGTGGACATGCGCAGGTGAGAGGAGGGAGAAGGGAAGGAAATGCGGCTGCTGCTGCTGCTGCTGCCCCTTGGCTCACTGTCCTCACAGTGTCCTCTCGCTAGGAGTAGCCAAGACCGGGGTGGGGGGGGGCCTGGGGGGCTGAAGGCCTCCTGGGGGGCAGCAGTGTGGGGCCGTCCACGCAGGCGCCCCCCAGGCCTTGGTTATTCTGTGCCTGTTGCATGTCAGTCTGTATAGCAGGGCACCTGCCCTAGATCAATAAAAGCGCCGCCGCCGCCGCCGCCGGGCGTTCCCGTTCCTTGCTCGAGTGAGGACTGGTTCTTGTGCCCCTGATGACCCCGGAGGGCCGGAGGGTCAGAGGTTCACTGTGGGGCTCGGTGCCTCGC